TGTGTTGTGGGCTGCTGTTTTACTTAATATGGTCCACATTTTTGGGATATGAAGGTTCTCCCTGTACGGCCCTTGTGCATTCATCTTGAAAAAAATAAATAAATAAACTTGACTCTTTAGGCTGCTTTGTGTCTATTAGAGTTTTCTCATTTATTTTTACTCCCAAGCATATTACTTTTGCCTTGTTCTGTCCAGATTTTCACAGATTGGTTTATTTTACGTCTGTATAATAGAGTCTTATAAGCCATTGTTCTGTTAATTATTGCCACCACAGATTAAACACAGATTATGGTCTTTTTTAAATTCTGCTTTAGGATTATAAATTCAGACATAAGATAATAAAACTGTCAGGTGTTTAGGTCAGAGCATTAACTGATCTTTTGTAAGTGCTAATGAGTGAAGTTTTATGAAAGCTTATTATTTCCAGACTAGATTCTTCATTCTGTGAAATAGCAAAATGATTGTAGGTCCCTTACTGTGAATGTTTTGATAGAACATACATTTATGATTTGCCTGATATTGTCAAATTTGATGCAAATGTAATGTGTTTTCTCTTTCTTTCTTTCTTTCAGCTTGCTGTGGTAAGTCCCAAGACTTTGAAGTATATTAAAAATGTTTCAAACTGTGCTTTTATTTAGCATTTAGCAATGCCATCTTCTCTATATGCATGTATTTTCTTGTTTGTTAAGAATGCAAATGTGGACCCCTGGACATTGCCTTCATTGTGGACAGCTCTGAGAGTATTGGAGCTTCTAACTTTGCCATCGCTAAAGACTTCATTGTGACGGTAATGGACAGGCTCAAGTTAAGACAGGTAAGTTTCCTTTTTAGATCAACAAGAGACTCATTAACATTTCAGTTAACTGTCAGCTTTGATTTATTAGAGTTGTAATCACCACAGACACTAAGGAAGACACTTTTCCAATCTTATTCAGATTAGTGGTTGACCAAATTGGGTTTTTCAATGATTGATTCATTAATTATTACATTTGGTCTTCTCCAATCGTGAATGCATGGTGGTTACATACTAGATACATGGGCTCTTCTGAATGAATTTCACACAATGATGTATTTAAGCTGAGTTTCTTTATTTTTCTTTCAGTTTGGTGCCAATGAGTCTCGTATTGGCGTGGTGCAGTACAGCGGTGCCAATGCTCAGGAGGTCGTACAGCTTGGTGACCCCAACATTAAGACCTTGACAGACCTAAAACAGTACGAAATATCAATGTTCTTTTGTTAAAAGCCTTAGTCTGCACACAATATGGCAAAAACAACTTCAAGATACAATTCTGTGGCTTGAAGGAATTTGTTTCCTCTTCAGATGAGCTTGCATTTTGTGTGTACGTCTGGCATTGTGTCTGAAGAAATAAAGAAAAATGATCTTTTTCACTTTAGAGCTGTGAAAGACTTGCGCTGGCTGGCTGAAGCCACATACACTGGAGAAGCTCTGCAGTACTCACTAAACAACCTGATTAACAAGCTTTTGACGGAGAGGAGTGTGGTCATTGTCCTTACTGATGGACGCTCTGACACCAAAAGAGACACTGTGCCCCTAAACGTGCTGTGCGGCAAGGGACTGAAGGTAAAGCTAATGAACTCAGACCACATAGGCTTTTTGGAAAAAAACATGCCTCAACTTTTGCAAAACTATAAAAAACATACCTAAACATATGGTACAATCCCAGTTTCTAGTTGAAATAAACACTATTTACAGTAAAAAGCCAACCGTTTTTATTCCTCAAATTATGCCGGTTAATTGGGATTGGTTTTTGCAGTTACTTGCGCAAAACTACATATTACTTCAAAGTAGTTTTACCATAGCATATGATTTCGACAATTGCATCACACAACCAGCTCCATATTTATGGCTATACTGACATAGTAAACTTGCTTGGTAACGCACCTGATACAGCATTGCACTTGCACTTCAAGTCCCCTGAAATATGAATCACATTAAAAGAGATTTTGTTGCTTGATCTTGTTAAGAGCACTCAATATGTCCAGCAACCAACATAAAACATTGCCAAATTTATGTACATCTGTTTCAGATTAAGCTGAGCATGCTTCAAGTACCTCTCACTGGATATTTACGTTGGAAAGTGTATGCAAGTATGCAGGAAGCAATGTAATATCATTCTGGCGCATATGGCACATTTTTCCATTGACCCTGTGTTGAACTTTGTGCTAATGAACTAATGCAGTTGTGTGGATCTTTGAGAAGGTCTACCGAAACTGCTTCCATAGAAGTGGAATTCATTATTCAGAGATATGAATCGAATATCCCGCAGATGTGATTTTTGGTTAGGGAAAAATTGTGATCCAGTGACATTTGATGTTATTGGCATCCAAGTATGGCTTTAAATGAAGTCCACAACCAGAAAGGATGTACCGGTAGACGGAAACCTTGACTCGCTTATGATTTCTGGCAGGTTGGTGGCGTTGGAGTGACGGATTATGCAGAAAGGAAGCCCAATCCAGAACAGCTTCTGGAGGTTGTGTGTAAAGATGATCCCAGAGAAGGCTTCTCCTTTGTCTTAAACAACTTTGGTCTTCTTCTGGATGACAGTTTCCTGCAAAACCTGACTGAGAGGATCTGTGAAGGTAGGTTAAATACTGCATCTGCTGCAGATTTAGGGTGCTTTGTGAATTCTGGATTTGATTTTGAGAGATATTCACAATGTTGTGCTTTCTTCACAGACAAGAAGTGTCCCACCTATACTTGTCCAAGTAAGTATTGATTTGAGAGCCACAATTGTTGCTGTTTTGACTATGAGATAATAATGGTTGCACCTTCTTCCTCTTGTCCAGTTTCATTTAATGACAGCACCGATGTCCTCATCATGATGGACAGCTCGGCAAGCGTGGGCTCCAAGAATTTCGAGATGACCAAGGAGTTCACACAAATGCTGGCTAAGCGCTTTTTGTTAGCAGAAAGTGGAGGCTTCCAGGTCCGGGTTGGCGTTGGCCAGTACAGCAACAATGCCAACTTGGAGGCCGAATTTTCCTCAGACACCACCCAGGTGGGCGCTCAAATCACAGAGGCAAAGTTCCAGAATGCAGGTACACAGGTAACAAACGCTCTCAACTTCGCCATTGAGCGCTTCAGGGGCGGCAGGACGAGGAAGAAGAAGCTGCTGGTGTTTTCGGATGGTCGTTCCCAAGGCGTCAATAACATCCAGATTGAAAAATCCATGGAGCAGGTGAGCAACGCAGGCATTGAGCTGTACGTGCTGGCCGTGGGCAACCAGGTAAACGAGGTGCACCTGCGCACCTTGGTGAGCCGAGGACGGCCCTATGATAATATATACGCCAACCGCCACCTTTTCAAAGTACCCGACTACCGCTCATTGGTCACTGGGGTCTTTTACCAAACTGTATCCCGCAAGATTTCCTTGGAGTCAAGAGGGTGATTGGATAGTGGGAGGGGTTCAGGAATAAAGGGGGTGGTGGCAGTATAGCACAAGCTTTGATTGTTTTTGTTTTTTGTCTGTTTTTCATGTGAATGATATATCTGAACTTCAAAGGTTTTTTCATAGACTCTTACATTTCATAAAAGACAGTAAATGATTGTGTCAGAATTCTTAAAAAAATATTTTTGTCACTTATTTTTTTGTAAGTAAAGGGATTAATCAAGTCGTTTCACAGATTATGCCAATATTGGAGTAGGTTCTAGAGCTTTGACTATATTACTGTATTAAGTTGTCCATGACTACCAGCAATTAGCATTAAATAATATATCCACTGTTGAGGGCACGAAAAAATCTTTTTTTCATTGGTAAGGAGCTGAAATCTCTTTGATGTCATCTCTCTTTGATGATACAGACTTAGACTCTTTAAAATGCATTTAAAAAACAATCTTGCAACCAGGGTCCAAAATGAACACATTCTTATCAATCTATCCATCTATCAATCTATCTATCTATCTATCTATCTATCCTCGACAATATATGTTTATATATACTGTCAAATATACCTGGAAATTGAAAAGGAATTATTTTGGACCCTGCTTGCAACCAAGTCCTGAGAATTATTCACTTGCATTAGTCTGTGGTACGCTTAATTGTTAGCATTAAAAATAAAACTTGAATATAAATTTGGTGCTACCCATGTAAATACTGGTTTCTTCAAAATTATTATTTTGTCTTTAACCAAAGAGTTTACCAATAGGCTTCTCATGTCATAAATGTATTTGAGACCAGCCTCAGGGCTATTGTAAAGATATTTGAAATAAAGGATGCTACACCCCACCACTAAGGCCTCTGTCATGCGTCTGTCTTGAAAAACATCTGCATTCCACAACACACCAAAAGATGCTGTGAACGATTAGTGTCAGTTTAGTTGTTAAATGAGAATGTTGTGAATTGCTTTTTTCCATAATTTATCTCCTTGCATACGCCACAAACTTTCTGAAGTATTTACTGTCTTTTGGCTACTGTACATTTTACATTTTTACTTTAGCCAATGAATGCTATCAAGGAACAGTGATATAAACTATAAAAGTAATAGGGTTCAACTTGAAACAAGTTATTTCAGTTTTGCAGTTTATAAAACTGCTTAAGTAAAGGTCAGTGATTAAATATTATTAAATATAAAAGGGAATATGCAACAATAAATCAAGTAATTTTTTTGTATTCTCCATTTTTGTCCCTTTGGATATTGACGTATTGAGATATTCTGTTTATCCCATAAGGAATCAATTCTGGAAAGGATAAGCACCGTTTGTTCACTTGTTGAACAGTGAATAGGATTGTCTATACATTTGTACAACACTAACGGCAATGTATAATGCCAAGTCTCTAAATGGAAAACATCCAGTTAACAACCACTACCCTCTGACAACATGCAATATGTCATTAGAGATCTGCCTGTGGTTTTGCTATGTAACATATGCTTTCCTCACTCCAAAGAACTGATATCATCTGACAAGGCCACTTAAACGTATGCATACAATTACTAGTTAGAGGAGAGACAGGAAACGGGGCAAAAATGCACTTGCTAGACTTCAGGATACACTTTTCTGTTTTTGTAGGAGGAAAAAATATGTAGGATTTGACATTTGCATACATTCAGACTATATATAAGAATCCTGAAAAAAAAGTACTCAACTGTTTTAAATGTTGATAATAATAATAATAATAATAAATGTTTCTTGAACAGCAAATCAGCATATTAGAATGATTTCTGAAGGATCATGTGACACTGAAGACTGGAGTAATGATGCTGAAAATTCAGATTTGATCACAGGAATAAATTACATTTTAATATATATTGAAATAGAAAGCAGTTATTTTAAATAGTAAAAATATTTCACAATATTACTGTTTTTGCTGTATTTTGGATTTTAAAAATGCAGGCATGATGAGCAGAAGAGAATTCTTTAAAAACAAAAAATCTTACTGTTCATAAACTTTTGACTGGTAGTGCATATACATGTGGCATGTTATTTTTTAATTATTGAATTAGATTCAAGATTTAAAAAAAAAAAACAGAATGGTCTGATTTTAGATTTGTGAAATCATGCTAAATAAGACACCTGCACAAAACAAAAACAGCAGAGAGACTGAATGAAAATGCAAATGTATTCCCTGACAGCAGGTGGCCTCTGCTTCTCATATCTCTCAGAAACACCATGTCAAGACCCAGTGCTCCACATGATGTGCAGCTAGTGTCGCCGCCTTCTCAGCAAGAGGTCATCTCCGGTCAGGGATTCAGTAGCAGCGGTGTAATCTTGCCCTCATTTATTGAGGTTTTGCCATGGCATCTGTTTCCTTTCCTAACTCTCGGGAGCCTGCAACCACATCAACCATTAACCGATATTGAATTATATTGTTGCTTCTGGTGTTTCCTTGTAAGTACAGACTATATCTAATATTGACCACATCTTTGAATTTACAAAAAGGGCCATAAAACTACTTGCATGCTCCTCTAGACAGCAAGACTCAGAGCATCGTTTCTCCCATATTGTGATATTTCACAGCATGAGACCATTTCAACATTAATTTCCATAATTTGGTTTGGCAGGAATGGAGCGTTTTACTTACTTACTACCCTTATTTTTTATTAAACCAAACCTCAATCCCTGTCATAGATTATGTGGACATGCAAGCTCAGGAGTTCTTATGGATGCCATAAATAGCTTTTTTTTCTGTGTTTATATATTTCCTATTGAAACAGGAGATTTAGGGCACATCAAAGGGATTGATTATAATGGTGTCTTACTTTGTAATTGTACAGAGCATCTGATTGGACAAAAATCATGTTGTGCAGGAGTCATCAATATGAGTAGAGAAAGACTATACATTAAAACATTTTAATTTACATCTTTTATTCAGCAATGATGCATTAAACTGATCTAAAGTGACATAAAATGTTCAAATAGATTTCACTTTCAAATAAATGCTGTTCTTTTTTAACTTCCTATTCATCGAAAAATCCTGACAAATATATCAAGCAGCAACTTTTTTTTAGCATTGAAAATAATAAGAAATGTTTCATAAGCTCCAAATCAGTATATTAGAATGATTTCTGAAAGATCATGTGACACTGAAGACTGCAGTAATGATGCTGAAAATTCAGCTTTGCTTCACAGGAATAAACTAGATTAAAATACAAAACAGCTATTTTAAGCTGTTTTGCATCCTTTAACCGAGATATTTCTGTGACCACATGCCTCCAATAATACGTTATAATATTATAATTATAACTATTATAATATTGAAATGTTTTACTGTATTTTTTATTTTAAAAAAGACACGTTCATAAACATAAAAAATTGTAGCAACCTCAAATTTTTTAACGCAAAGGTTTCAATGTTTATTCACCAGAATTTTAAAAAAAAATCTATTTTGTTGCTTCATTTTTTAAATAATATCCTCCCTGTTTTCCTGAGAGCAAGCTTTCCCAGTTGGAGCTTTACTTGGAAAATAGCTGCAGCTGCTAAAACATCCAAACCTTATTCAAATTCAGCCAGATTTATTGTCAACCACCAGACATTCAGTAGTTTCAGAACACAAAGACATTCAGCCTTTTGACTGATTTCATCATATTTAATTCTTTATCTTGCCAGATTTTGCGTTACGGTCTGTTTCATATTGGAAGCGGTACAACACAGTTTGGTTTAAGAGCTTCCCAATAATATAAGTTCAATAGTATGTTACAAGTACGTTCTGCCAAATCATGTCTGGAGCACCACATACATGCCAAACCCATTTGCCAAATTCTCCTCACTTGAAATCCCACAGAACAACACTGTGGCCATGGAAACGGGGTGTATGGAGGAGTGGGAGGGGTTTTGGAGAGGAGGTGGAGAGGTTTGGTACAACATGCCCAGATAATGACTCCCAGCTGGCTTTGAGCACTGAGGGCCAACATCTGGAGGCATGTGGTCACAGAAATATCTCGGTTAAAGGATGCAAGTCGCCTGCAGAAAAAAAAACTATGAGCTATGACAAAAAATGGAAATAAAAGAGGAAATATGTGTAAAACGACTGCAAATATCGGAGGAAATTGAAACTCATGTTTTGTTTAAATTAATTTCAAAGAAATGGGCATGCACACATGGGGAGTGAGGAACCTTTGGGAAGACGGAGGAGTAGAGATAGGGAAGATGAGATCAAATCAGAGACAGGGAGAAAAAGTGGTGGGAGAGGGGAAGGAAAGAGTTGGCTTGAGTGGTGCAGGCAGGGTAATTTGCTTGAGCAATGAGAGCTGTGAGAGCTCCATGGTGGGAGTTTAGTTTAGTTTAAACAAACTCCGGCCAATAGTGAACCGCAGGAGCGGGATACCAAAACCATGGTTAAACACTTAGTCAAATGACACACGCAATCTTGTTACAGCTTGTAGGAGAAGCTGAGTCACAGGCTTAAATTAGGGGGGGGGGGGGGGAACATGATTCTGCCAGAAATAATCTCCAAAACTCAGAGAATCGCTAGAAGCAAATTGCACCAAAGGAATACTTAAGTGCCTGCCTATTCCAGTGAAGCAATGTGAATGATGTAATAGAGTCAGTTGCTTTCAAGCACCTTAAATATTTGTATTTTAATGCATATTTTACAATAAACATAAAATATATTGTTTCTGTATTTAATCTTTAAATCAATAGTTCTGTATTTCTCCATCAATTTCAATTTGCCATTCACAATGCTTCTTGGGATTGAGGTTATTTCCTTCATTAAAGTCATTAAATAAACAGTCTTGTACTTTTTTATTATTATTATTTTTAAACAATTTTGTAATTGTAACAAGTTTGTAACAAGTTTCAAAGCCAGACAAATTTTGAAACTACACTCTAAAAAATGCTGGGTTAAATAGGGGCAAACCCAGCAATTGGGCTGTTTTGACCCAGTGGTTTGGTTAAATGTTTAACCCAACCTTCTGGGTAGTAACCCAACCGCTGGGTCAAAACAACCCAATTGCTGGGTTTGTCCCTATTTTACCCAGAACTGGGTTGTATTTAACCCAGCATTTTTTAGAGTGTATTGGGAAAAATTAATGGGAAAAGTACTTCCAGAATAATTTCCTGATTCCACTTCCCGTAGCCAATTTAATTCAAATTTGCACTCTTAAACGTATGGAGAACCAATTTTTAATTATGAAATTTGCACAACTATTTTGGTGACACAGTCACTATGGATATAGTCAGCAGTCAGAAATTGTTCAATGGTCACTATCAAAACCAAAGGCCACCCGCTGAGAAATGTGAAGGTTTGCACTGACTCCCTTTGATTCTCCAAAGACTAATTAAAGGTTACAACTAAAAATCGTCCGGCCTTATAGACAAACATGAGCAAATGAGTAATGAATAAGTCTTGTTCAGATCTGCACCTGCACCAGCCAAGACATTGGTTAAAACGCCTCATCAAATGACGGTTTACAAATTCGTCCCTCCTCTGTTTAACCT